CGGCGCCTGCCGCCCCACCTGTCTGTGGGCGTAACCCGAGCAAGCACATCCTTGGCGACCGCTAAAAATAGCCAAAGCAGCCGAAGCTTGATGAGAATGCGGACAAGCTGGACATTGACTGAGGCCATGTTTCTTCGTCAGTACGCAATCACCCGGAAAATCGTTCATTTTGTTCCACAAAATTTCTTTTTAAAATTTTAATTTTTTACATTTTAATTTTATTTTTTTTACTTGTGAGCAAAACTTTGAAAAAGTTAGGAACATGAGGTATAAACTACTTTGCCGAAGTGTAACTTTTTTCCCTTGAGGTGTTCAAATCCTGACTGTTGATTATTTCGACAGCTTCTCTGCCAACGAACTTGTCGAAACGCACCTCTGATCCGTATCTAGGTGGCCGGATCCCGCATTCTACCCCAGTTTCTGTCGCTACTCACGAAATGAACCCTATTAGGTGACCACTTTGATGGATCGGCGTTGTAGCGTCCGGCGATTTCCCCCGCGAGACTGTTGCAGAAGCCCTGATTCGGACACGCCGCGGACACGCCGGGCCATCCAACCCGTTCCCCGCGCGGACTAGCGCGGACCAGTGCGGGGAAGGCCGACCCGGCGGGCCAGCGGGCCTCAGTCGGACTCGGTGGAGCGCCACTCGGCTTGACAAGTGTATTGTATTTCGGAGGCCGGAGCCCGCCGAAGAGTCGATTCATGTTTATTAGTCAAACTGGGTGAACTGCTTCCTGCCCGCTTCGTTGGGCGGGGTGACTGACTCTCTCTCTCTCTCTCTCTCTCGCGCGCGCGCGCGCGTGTGTGTGTGTGTGTGTGTGTGTGTGTGTGTGTGTGTGTGTGTGCGCGCGCGCGCCGCTGCATTTCATAGGATGCTGTGCATACTTCATTCCGCGAGGGATGTTCTACCAACTTGCTCCAGAGCCTTTTATTTTTTGATCAACCAAAAGTCCCAGACGTCTCAGCATTCCGTCTGTGGACCCGGACTCGTCCATCATAAACATCCGAATAGCCACCACATACCAGAAGCAGCGTAGGCCCTGGACGTTTCCCCTGACGAGAGCTAATTCGGCTCGCCAATTATTTTCCTTTCTCATCAGCATAACTAATAAAAGAGACTCCTGCTAGGCCAGCCCAGGGGCCGGGCCGGCCTGCGGATGGCAAAGGCAGCGGGTCGGGCCTCTCCCGCTGCTCCAGTTCTGCTGCGCTGGGTGGGGCTCGGAGGCTGAGATACATCACGTCGCTCTGTGAGTGTGTGCGTGTGTGAGGGGAGAGAGAGAGAGAGAGAGAGAGAGAGAGAGAGAGAGAGAGAGAGAGAGAGGAGAGGGCGATGCGCGGTGCGTGGTACCGGATATCCTACCCGGGAGAGCGAAGGAGAAGGACGCCGAGGGTATCAGAGCACCCGCGTGAGAGTGAGAGAGCGAGACACTCCCCAGAGAGCTCGCCTTGAAACTGGATATACATACCAGGCATCTTTCATTTCATACCTTCGCGGGCGTGGCGTGCGATCGCGGTGTTTGAGGTAGTAGCTCCAGGGCTGAAGGGACGTATCTGCGAGGGGCTTCTCACTTGACTTACGCTGTTGTGTTAGATGATCAGCAGGGAACGAGTCCAGAGAGGAAGGACACTTTCCAGTTCCGCGACTCACAGACTGGATGCGTGTTCGTCTCAAGGGCTCGAACTCGATCCAACATCGGCTAGGTTATTGGTACGGTTAAAGTGAGTGGAGAGACGTACGCTCTGAGTAAGGTTAGGACGGCTTGAACAATTTCTGTTGGCTGAACTAGGTTAGGATGGTTTAGTCCTGAACGGCGGTTGCGGCGTCTGGATTGAGCCTTTCTCCGGGGTGAGACCTGGGTGGCCGACGTCGGACGTTGCAGCCCGCCATCCTTTTGTCCATTCCAGTTAGCCGGCGTGCGTCGCCGAGTCGCCGTGCGTCGCCGAGCGCATGTGACGGCGGTTCATTAGGTGGCTGCATCCACAATCCTGCTCTGCCCTGCCTTGCCCTGCCCTGCTCTCTCGTTTCCTGTTCGAGACGGACTGCTGATCAGCCAGATGGAGCCAGATGCGGTCAGATGCTGAGCCGCTTTTCCGTTCAGACAGTTGTTGCGGTAAGAAAAAAAATAGCTTAGCTGCTTGTGCGTTTTTAATAAGTTTCTCTTCCCGTTTTTTCTGTTTTTCCTTTGAATGTGTTGGTTCATGCGGTGGAGGGAGAAATGAACAATGGTGGCGTCTGATTTCACAAAATAGTGTATTTTGCCATGTTTTTACCAAAATCAAAGGCAACAAATATATTTACAAAAAAAATATAACATTACGATTTATTGTGCATGGTATGAATCAAACATCTAAACAAGCAATAGTGGGCGAAAACCCCCAAACATCGTAAAACAAAACATCGCATTGTAAAAAAGAGGGATTTACAAAACAAACAGGAGTTAGGCCAGTGGACAGTACTAGAAGAGAGCTTACCAAACACCAAATTTGACCAAAGAAGGTCAAACATACAATGTACAGAAAGTCCTAAGCCACGGCGGAATAACTTTGCCATGACCGCCGAAATGCTTAGAACTACTTCGTCTCATCTTGTCTTCTGACTAGCACCGTATCAAATAACGAATTTCTAACAACATCTTTGACAAAATCAAGTTACGTTTGTACACTCCTGCAATCGTTAGGTTAACAAATTTTCTTTGTGGTAAAAACATACCGGTGTGTGCAGATGGAAAAAGGCTAGCGAGTACTAGAAACAAAACTATTATTTTGCACTCATCGGTGTGACAAAACGGGGAGAAGAAAATTAAAATTAACACAAGGGGCGGTGAACACACTGTCCCCACACTATCCTAACTATCTGTTTCTACGCGAGGCTAATCACAGAAAGATTTGTTGGTCGGCAGTTTGTGGTGTAGTGGTGGCCTGCCGGGCCATCCCCAAGGGCTCCTCGGACGCCCGCCCTGGCCGCCCTGGCCTCGCCGCGGCTCGGCAGAACACGTTTGGCGGCGGGCCCGCAGGGCGGGCGGGGCGGGGCAGCGCGGCCACACCCAGCAACCTGCCCGCTGTCCCCTCGGGCAGTGCTCTGGATTCCCTTGTCGACGAGACAAGCGAAAGTGAAAAGAAGGAAAGTGATCTGCGCTGCCCGGCCGGCAGTCCTGGCCAGCAGTCCTGGCCGGCAGGCCTGCGAGGCGCTGGCAGTGCTGGCAGTGCTGGCAGTGCTGGCCGCCCGACCGTCCTGGCGCTGTGCTGCGCGGTGCTACGCGGTGCTGCGCGGTGCTGCGCGTTGCGGCGCGGTGCTGCGCTGCTGGTTGGCACTGATCCCCGCCGTTCCCGCCGCGCCGAGCCGATCAAGTGTTGCTGGCCGGCGAGTCCGGCGGTGATGATCTCTCCTCCTCCCGGTCCGAGTCCTTGTCCGAGCGCCGCGGCCCTGGGGGCGGCGACGCGGTGCACGGCCGCGGGTGGGGCGACGCCGACCGCCCGGAGTACGCCGACGACGCGGAGGATGACCTCGACGAGAAGTCCTTGCTACTCGACGAGTCGCGCTGCTTCTTGTCGACGAGGGAGAGCGGCGTGCCGGCTGGGTCGGCGCCGTTCAGGTCCCGGTCCCGGCCGTCACGGCGCGGCGGCGCGGGGTAGAGGTGGCCGTGGTACCCCATGGGCAGCAGCGACCGCTGCAGCGGCAGCACCATCCTGCCGTCCGCGCTCACCTTGCCCATGAAGGAGCGGATCTCCTCGAAGTAGGACTCGTCACCCACGCCGGGCGCACCCGGGGACAGGCCGGGCTGCAGCACGGCGGCGGCGGAGCGATCCCGGTCGTCCAGGATGGTGGGGCCGTCCGTCTCGTGCTTCTTGAGGTGGCGGTCCAGGTTGGTCTGCTGGCCGAAGCAGCGCGCGCACAGCGGGCACTTGAACGGCTTCTCCTTGTGGTGGATGTTGCGGACGTGCCGCTGCAGGTTCGACGAGATGCTGAAGGAGCGCTCGCAGAACTTGCACTTGTAGGGCTGCTCGCCCGTGTGCGTGCGGAGGTGGCGCGTCAGGTTGGCGGAGCGCGGGAACACCTTGCCGCAGAACTTGCACGAGTACCTGTCCTTGAGCTTGCCGCTGGGCGTGGTGGCCGGTGCCGCCGGGCCGCCGTCCGCCGGGAAGGACTTGGAGGTGGGCGTGGGCGGCGCGGGCGGCGTGGGCGGTGGTTGCAGTGCGGGGTGGAAGGCGCTGGGCGCCAGCGGCGACCGGTCGTGGTGGTTCAGGAGGCTGGCGCCGAGGAAGTGGTACGGCCGCGGGCCGCCGGGGTACGCCGCGGGGTGGCCGTCCGGGTAGCCGATGGGCAAGCGGGGGCCCTTTTCGCGGTACATGGCCTCCAGCATGTAGGGGTGCAGCGACTGGTGCGGAAACACGAGCGGGTACGGCGACGGCCTCGGACTTTTCAGACTGACGCTGCGTGGGCTCTTCGGGCTGCGCGGACTGCTGAGCGGGGACTTCCCTCGAAGATGTTCGTCGTCGTCCTCGTCGCCGTCGACGTCCAGGTCGCGCTCGTGGTCGTCCTTGCCGCCGACGGAGAGCGGCGACGGCGACCGCATGATGACGTTCTGGTTCTCGTCCTCCAGGGGCCGCCCCCGCTGGTAGTCCTTCTTGTGGTCGACGCGGAGGTCGAGGGGCTGCTCGTCGCCGTGGCCGTCGCCGTCGGGCCGCGCCGCGGGCGACATGTGCGGCGCCTCGGCGTGCTGCGGCACGGCGGGCTCGGACGCGTCGGCGCGGTGGTGCCGGGACAGGTCGAAGGGCATCATGTCCTCGTGGGGGTCGCCGTCGCCGTCCGCGCCCGCCGCCTGGCCGCCGTTGGCGTCCTTGGCCGGGTGCGGCGGCGGCTCGGCGGGGTACACGGACGCCTGCTTCGGCGACGAGCTGCCGCCCGACGCCATCAGCATCTTGCGCGGCGAGGAGTCCTTCTCGCGCATCGTCACATGCGGCAGCGAGCCGAGCCGGGGGTACCAGTCCACGGCACTCATTGAAGTGCTCAGCCGGCCTCCTGCAACAGACAAAAGGAACAATTAAAGGGTGAAAAGAAAATAGGAGTTGGTTCACACCGAGCTCACACACAGATCATCGCCTATCGGTTCGTGCGCGCAGGGGCTGCACTGCAGGGCGACGTGATGGCCCAGTGAGCTATTTGCTCCGAAACGTGTTGTTTCTTTTTTTTGCGAAATGGGTGCCGTGGGGGCCGCCGTGCGTTATGAGGCAAGAGTAAAGTGATGTGCGCGGCGCCGCGGCGGTGACGTGGCCGCCGCGCCGCGCCACTGCACTGTGATTGCCGGCCGGCAGCCCCTGGCGAGGCATTTGCATACCGCTATTAGTGGCCACGCCGACTGGGGACAAAACGATTACTTGTCTTGCGAGAAAAGAGAGCGCGCGCGCCACTGTATGTTCCCTCCGAGATCAAGTAGAGGTGTTCGGCGAGCGAAAAGGCGGGAAAAAAAGAGCGGGGTGTCCGAGCCGATCAAACGTCCACCTGCATGACAAGGCTATCGGAAGCGGTGTAATTAGTGGAGGCAGGGAGCGGCGTTTCTGCCGGAGGATGGGATAACCACATGCTGCGGAGGGCTTTTTTTTCTTTTTTTCTTTTTGCTCTCGTTTTCCAGCGCGGCCGGCGCGAAGAATGAAGGTGAATTGACGTGATGCTGCCACAATGAAGCGTGCATGCGACATGCAGCGCCTTGTGCGGCACAAAGCGTCGGCCAGGCAGGCAGCCAGCCAGCCCGGGGCGGAGTGGATCGGGGTGCGAGGTCATGAGGCAGGGATCGGTCCGGATCGGGACGACGGCTTGGGACTTGGGGAGAGGATCGTGGAGATGAGGTAGAGGACAGGATCCTGGAGGTGACGTCTTCAAGGTAGGGAGAGGGCTGAATGGCGGTGGACTCGGCACCGCACCGTAGAAAAAAGGGGAGGGGGGGCAGCCTTGAGTAATTAGGGTGAGCGCACCTGTCGCGAAGGGCAGGCCCGTCACGTTGCACTTATTGCCGCGCTGGCCGCGCAGTGCCGCCACGATCCGTTCAGCCGCCTGCCCCCTCCCCTCCTCCCCCTCCTCCTCCTCCTCCTCCCCGCCCCGCTCCGGGTCAGCGATGCAACAATAATTCGTCTTCCTCTGCGGCCGCCGCAACGTGCGTCCGTCTGGCGGGCCGCCGCGGCATCTCAATCAAAATTAATTTTTCGCGCTCTCCTCCACACACGACTCCGACTCCCACGACGGCGGCGGCGTGGCGCGCAGTCCCGGTGCGCAGTCCCGCCCAGAAAGACTCGACATTTATATCCATTTCGGAGTTTCCTCACCGTTCGCTTCGTTTCAATCAAGCCGCGCAAGAAAAAGGGGACAGCAGGCAGACCGATTCCGAGATTTCGTCCCTCTGTCTCTCTCGCACTCACGAGGCAGCCTCCATCGGTGCGACGGCTCTCGGCATCGGTCGCCGCCGGCTCGCGGGGAGCAGCGTGTTAATTGGCGCCGTTTTTAAACGCTTCATAACTGGAGCAAGACGTCCGTAATATGCCACGCGTCAGACACCTGCACTGCCCGATTAACAGCTTATTTTTCTTAGACAAAAAAGGTCGGCATGTGGCTGCACCGCTTGTCGCGCAAGAGCGTCCCGTAATGAAGGACGGCTGGAGCGTCGATCGGGGGGAGAGAGAGACAGAGAGAGAGAGAGAGAGAGGGGGGGGGGGGAGAGGGAGAGAGAGAAAGAGAGGGAGAGAGGGAGAGAAAGAGAGAGAGATGGGAGCCTGGGCACGCCGAGGCGGCCCGCTTCAGGCTGCATCCGAACGGTCCATCTCTGTCGCGCTCCCGGTGTACCACCGTAGGCGTGCGAGAGAGACAGAGAGAGACACCAATTAGGCCTATTCATTCATTAACGCGGCGCTGGAAAGGTGGTGCAACGCGGGGAGGCGGCGCTGCTGCGATAGACTGGAATCGAAACGAGAGCGAAGCCGCGAAGCCGCGAAGCCTGCCGACGCATAAAACCGGGACGCCGAGAAAAGCCGTCTCTGCTTCTCGCGCGGCATGGCGGCACTCCTCGCGGACAGGCGGCATGTGTCCATTCAAATGGCATAAAAGTCCGCTCCAGTGCAGCGGCCGCTAGCAGTGGCGCGGCCCAGTGTCCAGTGCACTCGGCGAAATAATGCAATAACGTGGACTCCCTGGAGGCCGCTTGCGTGTGCGGAGTGCGCTACCCGCGTGGCACGGCACGCCACGGCACGGCACGCCACGCCCGGCGTGAAGCCAATCATCCCTGGGCCGATCCCGAGCGGCCTCTTCGTGTGGGACCGTACCTGGACCGTACCATGGGGGACCGGCTTGCGCATGAAATCACGGAATCGGCCTGACCAGACGGCGGCGGCAGGGACGCGGACGAGAGAGGTTCAGGGAAATGGAAAATAATAAAGTACAAAAACGAAGGCGAGGCCGATGGCGTGGGCTATCATCAGGCATACGGATCCCACTGGGACCCGGCACGTACGGCCTGCTGACGGGCTGGGCGCAGTGACGCCAGCGATTCGGAGGAGTGGTCTGTCGCTCTGTCTCTCTCGCACCCGCGCGGTGTGCCCCATGCGTGACAGAGAGAGACAGTCCCGGTTGCCTCGCCGGGCCCCCTGCCATGCGCGGCGTAGGCAGTCCCGCCACGCAGCGCAGCGCGTGGTCAGCCCAACCTCCGGGCGGCGGCGTGCTTGACTTGTGCACCGTCGCCGTCGTCGCCCGGGGCGCTCTGGCGGTCAGCAGCTCAGCCACCGCCCATCGGCCTTGCGAGGTGTTAATACAATGCGAGCACGGCGGAGCACGGCCGTGGGAACGCTGCGACAGTGTGCGCACGCACGCAGCAGCGCTCGCTCCATTCGGCCGGCGGCGTCCTCATCGTCCTCGTGACCGGCGGACTCCGAACAAGTGTCTCGCCGCTCCGTCTCTCTCGCACCCCTGTGCGACGCCGCATGAGTGCGAAAGAGACAGGGGTCAGGACCCGGCGATGGGGCCGTTCAAAGTTCCAAGTTATCTTTCTTAGGCGCGCGTCAACGCAACCGCCCCGCCTTTCTGTACGGCACCCCGCCTTTTGCCGCCAAACACCGCCCCGCCCCGCCCCGCCCCGCCGGGCCCCTAGTCCGGCAGCGCCGCCGCCGCGGCCCACGGGGCCCCGTCAGACATCGGTTCACGTCAGGGCACCGCGTGGCGGGGCGTGGCGGGGCGGGGCGGGGTGGGGCGGGGCGGGGTGGGGCGGGGCGGGGCGGGGTAGGGCGGGGCGGGGCGGCGCGGCGCATTCCGTGTTTACTCTGCACAATTTATTGCACCGCCGGCCGGATCATGCACGACCGCCAAAACCGACGTCCGAGGGCGCTGATGCAACTGGGACGCCCCTGGGACGCCCCACTCGTCGTCATCATCACGTGCTTTTGTGGTCGCACGTCAGACGCGTGCGCGTGTGTTGGTGCGAGTGTGTGCTTGCGGCCGCGCGCGTGCGCGCTGCAGGCACCGCAGGAAAATCTTGCGCAGTCTCGCGGCTCTCAATGATATTGTTTATTTTTGTAGAATGCCATGCATGTCTCTCTTTTAGGCGGAGCGGCGGTTGTTTTTGCTGTATTCTCTTCAATGAAAATAAGGAACGCACTGGTACTAGCACACACACTCACTCACTCACACACGCGCACGCACGCACGCACGCACACACACACACACAGTTAGTTTGACTGATGAACCTCGCCCGGCCACGCCCCGCGGGAACGCCCCGCGCCACACATTAGATGGTTGCAGCCCTGCCCTGGTTTCTGCCGCCTCCTCTCGATCCTCGTGCCGTGGCGTGGCGTGGCGTGGCGTGCCGTGGCGGTGCGCGAGGCGCTCGGATGGCGCATGGCTTCCCGCAGGGCGCGGCCCGGACCGCCTGTGCGTTCGGCCAGTCCTTGCATGCGGGATTCTTTTTTCGAGTACACTCTTCGTAGCAGCGAGCCGCGGTCGGAATTCGGATGCGAGCCGCTGTCACATAGCGGGCGTCATCAACGCCGTCTTCGCGCGGTTAGAAAATGAAACCAGCAGTAGATGGAGGACCTGCGTCACGTCAACAACAACATTGCGAGAACAACATCAACAGCAACACAGACGGGGTCCATTTCCCGCCACATGCGTACCTACAGCTCCGGGATCTAGAGCGAGCGTTACACGGGGTCCGGCCACCGCATCAAACAACAACAAAAAATAAAATAAGGAGGGTAAGAAAAACGAAGAAGATATCGCGGGCAGTCCGGGCTCGTACATCAGGTGAGTAAAGATTCGCCATATAATGGAAGGTAGTTGTGGCCGGGGGGAAGAAATGATGGGCTCAGCTGAGGTTTTGGTTCCGCAGCACGTCCGCGCGGACCTCCGCCGTCGCTCGAGGCGGAGAGAGAGAGAGGGGGGGGGATGAGTCAGGAAGGCCCCAGATCGCCGTGCCCATTCATAATTCGATGCGTGTAGCTTTCGCACTCAGCGGGCTGACTCCGAACGGCGTTTCGTCGCTCTGTCTCGCTCGCACCCGTGCGGGGCGCCCCACGAGTGGAATCGAGAGACAACACATTGTGCGGAACCAGCCCGCAGGTGGGCGCATAAATCTCCGCAGAAGATACGCATCACACTATACGTTGAAATCTTCAGCGGCCGATCAACAACAGTTGGAATTTTTTTTCTCTTTTTTCTATGTCTTTTCCTCGACAGACTGGTGGCGCCGACCGTCCGGGCGATCGGGCCGACTGGCCGCGGGGCCGCCGCTGGGCCGCGAGGTGTGAGCCATCCCATCGTTTAAAACGCCTCGCGATTATACGGTATCGCCGATGCGCGCGTTCGCGCGGTGGGCACTTATGCAGCGAGGAGAAGAACCAACTTGAGCCGACGGAAATAAAAATAAAAGGGGAAGGAGAGGGAGAGACACAGCGCGGCAGGAATGGAGGAGACGCGTGTGGAGAAAGGCTGAGATTTTTCACGTAGAAAAAATGATATTTCATACCC